CACACACACACACACACACACACACACACACACACACACACACACACCTCGCAAATCACAACAGCTTCAGGCTGGGGAAGGACACATGTCCTTTTTTCCCCCCTTTCCTCTTTCTTTTCTTCTTCCTTCCTTCTTTCCTTTTTTGAGTCTCACCACCCTCGAACCCAGGGCTTCACAAACGCAAAGCATGCACTCTACCAGCTGAGCCCTATGTCCAGCCTTTTCACCTTTTTCCAGACAGGGTCTTGCTAAAGAGTGCAGGTTGGCTTAGTCTCGGTATGCAGCCCGGCTACCCTTGAGCTTGCAACTGTCCTGCTTCAGCCCCCATAGGAAGCTAGCGTGCCTCCAAGCCTGGACCAATCTCAGCTGAACCCATAAATGACCTATGGCTGTGACGTCTAAGGTCCCACAGGAATTTGGAAATTAGTTACAATGTAGACCACTGGGTCTCAGATTTAACCCCCTTACCCCAGACAGACACTCAGGCCTGAGAGCCCAGCATGGCTTCCATTGCTTCATTTTGCATCAGAGGAAACTGAGGCCTGCCAAAAGAAAGTGGCTTCTAGAGGCCAGACAGGTCCAGAAACACAACAGGAAGAGCGTGGTTCCCTGTCTCACCTGGCCACTCCAGGAGTACCCTTCTTCCTTTCCCAGGAAGCATAAAGAGACACAACAGGAAAGGCGGCCCAGGGTGCCCGCCTGATGCCCGAGGTCTCTGCAGGCCTCAGGGCAGTAGATGCCCCCTGAATGGACCCGAGGCCCCGAGGCCCTAACTCACCACAACGTGTTTATTGACTAGGAACAATTCCAGCTGTGTCCACACCATGTATACAGGTGGCAGAGTGGCAAGGCTACAGGCCGGGGCAGGACCCAACAATCGCCATCGCTGCTGCGTACACTCGCTAGTTGGCTATAGCACTGGGGGTAGTCTCTGCCATCTGCCCCCCCTTAAATTCATGTAGCTCAGGCTAGCCTTTATTTCCCTGCCCCGGGGTTTCTCTGTGTCTTGCTGGCTGTCCTGAACTTGCTGGGTAGACCAGGCTGGCCTCAGACTCACAGGGATCCACCTGCCTCTGCCTGCAGAGGCAGTCTGTCACCATACCTGGCTCCAGGCTAGCCTTAAACTCACTCTACAGCTAAGGATGACCCGAACTTGGATGCTTTTTCTTCCACCTCCCTGGGTGCTTTGGTAACAGGCTTGTGCCACCACACCTGGTTTATGTGGCACTGGGGATGGAACCCAGGGCTTCGGGAGTGCTAGGCAAGCGCTCTGCCAGCTGAGACCCAGCCCAGCCGGTGAGCCCTTGCTCTGCCACCTGTAAATTCTGTGATCCCAACTGCTCCTTCTAGCCAGGCCTGGGTCTATGATCCCAGGAGTCAGGTGCCTATGTCGTTAGGTAAAGACCTAAAACTTCAGTGACCTCAGTCTGCGCTGACCCTATCTTCAACAGGCAACACAGGGTTCCCTGAATTCCTGGAATACAACCGTGCCCATTTTAACTCCACATGTCCTAAGGCCTGCCCCTCCTCCACTCCTTCAAGGTGGGGCCGTTGACTCTTACAGGCCCCCCTCGGAGGTGCAGGCTTGCTTCCTGAACACCAAGGCCACTTCCCGAGGCAAGGACTGAGCCCACAGTGCTAAGTGAGCAGCAGAGGACTGCACCCGTTACCTCCAAGTCTCCTTTGGTGATGGACTCCTCTTCCACCCGGAACTGCAGGTCCTCCACCTTCCTGCAGGGAGGAAAAGAGACAGAAGTGGGCTTTGATGGCTGGGGGGGGCACCTCCCTTGAATGCCCCAGGGAAGCCGGCAGTGAGGGCACAAGCCTTTAATCCCAACACTAGGAGGCAGAGACAGGCAGATCTTTGTGAGTTTGAGGCCAGCCTGGTCTACAGAGTAAGTTCCAGGACAGCCAGAGATGTTACACAGAGAAACTCTGTCTTGAAAAGTAAAACAAAACAAACAAAAATCCCCCAGTGAGGGGCTGGGGATGTGGCTCAGTGTAGGGCACCTGCCTAACATAAGAGGTCCCTTGGTTCCATCCAAGCCCCACCGGTCTCTCTCTCTCTCTCTCTCTCTCTCTCTCTCTCTCTCTCACACACACACACACACACATGCACAAAGGCAAGTGGATGTGTATCTGGCCAGTTATGGCAGGCACAATGGAGGCATCAGAAGATCTGTGGGACCAAGATTCAACCACAGAAGGGGCTGTCCCCACAGAGCCAGGAGCCACCTAAAACCCCGAACTTGAGGAGGAGCGGAGCTTTCAGGAAGCCTCTGCACTGAATACAAGCCTCCTTCCTCTCAGGATGTCCATGGAAAATAAGAGGACGACAGTCTGAGCCAGGTACAGTGGTGCACAGGGGTGGGAGGTCAAGGCAGGAGGGCTGGGCCTTGGAGGCCAGCCTGAGCTTCATAGTAAGATCGTTCCTCAAAACACCAAATCAGGATAACGACTCTTCAGGGGACATACTGTGCCACATGACCCTATCTCAGCAAAGAGGATGAGGGATGCCAGGGGACTTCCTTTTCACTAACTTCACTCTCATCCTCCAAGTTGAAAGCTGAGATCCCAGCGTGCATTTCCTGTGCTGCCCACAGATGAAGAAGTCCCTCAGGATCGCACTGCAGGCATCACGGACTCCCTTCAGGAGCACACGGTCACCCTTACACATGCCAAATGAGCACAGGACAAGGCCCTACCTCATCCTGCCATCCAAATGGGGCTGAGTGACAGCTTATAATATGCCTGTACCAAAGTTGGAAAGCAATGCACGGTGCTGGGATATGCACCTAGGCCCCTATGAACACAGCTCCCGAGATGCCTTTTCTGAATTGAAAAATAAATTGAGCTTATGCATATGAGTATGTAAGTGTAGGATGCCATGGCTTGATTGTGTGTGCGCTCGTATGTGTGTATGAGTGTGCATGTGAAGATACCTGAGGAGGCAGCCAGTTTGATGTCGTGTGTGTGAGCATGACATGCATGTGTGTACATATGCCCAGAGGCCAAGAGGTTACTGAGTATCTTACCCTAACACTCTCTGTGTTATCACCTTGACAAAGGGTCTCTTACTGAACCTGAGGCTAAACTGAAGACCACTAAGCCACACCCCAGCCCCTCACTGGGGGATTCTAGACAGGTGCTCTACCACTGAGCCACACCCCAGCCCCTCACTTGGGAATTCTGGGCAGGGGCTCTACCACTGAGCCACACCCCCAGCCCCTCACTGGGGGATTCTAGGCAGGGGCTTTACTGCTGGACCACCACCCAACCCCAGCTCTGAAAACTACTTCTATAGTTTTCCTGAGAGCATTTGTCAAGGCTCTAGCATCATGCAGAGGC